GGGGTGTGTCCTAGGAGAATGGACTCTCAATTCCAGTCCTCATGAGCAAACGGAAAAAGAATGTATGAAAATAATTCCATTTACAATAGCCTCAAACAAAATCAAATACCTAGGTGTAAACCTAACAAAAGATGAGAAAGACCTCTACAAGGAAAACTATACACTTCTGAAGAAAGAGATTGAGGAAGACTATAGAAAGTGGAGAGATCTCCCATGCTCATGGATTGGTAGAATCAACATAGTAAAAATGTCGATACTCCCAAAAGTAATCTACATGTTTAATGCAATTCCCATCAAAATTCCAATGACATTCATTAAAGAGATCGAAAAATCTACTGTTAAATTTATATGGAAACACAAGAGGCCATGAATAGCCAAGGCAATACTCAGTCAAAAGAACAATGCAGGAGGTATCACAATACCTGACTTCAAACTATATTACAAAGCAATAAAGATAAAAACAGCATGGTACTGGCACAAAAACAGACATTGAAGACCAGTGGAACAGAATAGAGGATCCAGATATGAAACCACACAACTATAAGCAACTTATCTTTGACAAAGGAGCTAAAAATATACGATGGAGAAATAGCAGCCTCTTCAACAAAAACTGCTGGGAAAACTGGTTAGCAGTCTGCAAAAAACTGAAACTAGATCCATGTATATCACCCTATACCAAGATTAACTCAAAATGGATCAAGGATCTTAATCAGACCCCAAACTCTTAAGTTGATACAAGAAAGAGTAGGAAATACTCTGGAGTTAGTAGGTATAGGTAAGAACTTTCTCAATGAAACCCCAGCAGCACAGCAACTAAGAGATAGCATAGATAAATGGGACCTCATAAAACTAAAAAGCTTCTGTTCATCAAAAGAAATGGTCTCTAAACTGAAGAGAACACCCACAGAGTGGGAGAAAATATTTGCCAGCTACACATCAGACAAAGGACTGATAACCAGAATATACAGGGAACTTAAAAAACTAAATTCTCCCAAAACTAATGAAACCAATAAAGAAATGGGCAGTGAACTAAACAGAACTTTCTCAAAAGAAGAAATTCAAATGGCCAGAAAACACATGAAAAAATGCTCACCATCTCTAGCAATAAAAAATGCAAATTAAAACCACGCTAAGATTCCACCTCACCCCTGTTAGAATAGCCATCATCAGCAACACCACCAACAACAGGTGTTGGCGAGGATGCGGGGAAAAAGGAACCCTCTTACACTGTTGGTGGAATGTAGACTAGTACAACCACTCTGGAAAAAAATTTGGAGGCTACTTAAAAAGCTGGACATCGATCTACCATTTGATCCAGCAATACCACTCTTGGGGATATACCCAAAAGACTGTTACTCCAGAGGCACCTGCACACCATGTTTATTGCAGCACTATTCACAATAGCCAAGTTATGGAAACAGCCAAGATGCCCCAGCACTGACGAATGGATTAAGAAATGTGGTATCTATACACAATGGAATTTTATGCAGCCATGAAGAAGAACGAAATGTTATCATTCGCTGGTAAATGGATGGAATTGGAGAACATCATTCTGAGTGAGGTTAGCCTGGCCAAAACCAAAAATCGTATGTTCTCCCTCATATGTGGACATTAGATCAAGGGCAAACACAACAAGGGGATTGGACTATGAGCACATGATAAAAGCGAGAGCACACAAGGGAGGGGTGAGGATAGGTAAGACACCTAAAAACTAGCTAGCATTTGTTGCCCTTAACGCAGAGAAACTAAAGCAGATACCTTAAAGCAACTGAGGCCAATAGGAAAAAGGGAACAGGTACTAGAGAAAAGGTTAGAAAAGAATTAACCTAGAAGGTAACACCCACGCACAGGAAATCAATGTGAGTCAATGCCCTGTATAGCTATCCTTATCTCAACCAGCAAAAACCCTTGTTCCTTCCTATTATTGCTTATACTCTCTCTACAACAAAATTAGAAATAAGGGCAAAATAGTTTCTGCTGGGTATTGGGGGAGGGGAGAGGGAGGGGGTGGAGTGGGTGGTAAGGGAGGGGGTGGGGGCAGGGGGGAGAAATGAACCAAGCCTTGTATGCACATATGAATAATAAAAGAAAAATGAAAAAAAAATAAAATAAAATGGACCTCACAGATTTAAAAAAAAAAAATGACTGCACACTGTGACCGTCCTTGGCTCTGGTAAAATAGGATCCTGGGGCCCATCATACAAGGTCATTACGAGGATAGAATATGTAACACATATTAGACGCTCCATGTGCTCACAATCTCTTGTGCTTTTGACTTGAACTTCCTGGTCACAGCCAGTTTTGTTTATACGCGCCCATGCTCACCCCTTCCAACATACTCCTTCCCCTCCAAAAGAAATGCATAGTAAGTGATCAGGCGATTCTGCTCTTCTCTTGCCATGAAATGTGCTGTTTTGCACACTGGGAATTTAGATGCAAAGTAACTACTCTTTCTGCTACAGTGTACTACTAGGTCAGGCATCTTGAAAAAGTCCACAGCAGAATATTGTTCTCACACTTTTGAAAAACTCATTTTTCATAGCCAAGTGCCAGTTGTCTAACTAACTAGGAGCAATGGCCCACAAAGGTGTTCTCAGCTTATTAAAAGTGCAAATATGCCACTAGTAGAGATAGCAGCTTGACACACAGAAATGAGGTGTCAGAACAAAACCAGAGTCAAAATATTTTGTGCTTCATGTAGATTAACATGGATGAGACCCTTGAAGAAATACATGCCTTTTAAAAAGTGCTCCCACACAGCAGATAACTGAACATGAAATGCATAGCTCATTTTTCTTAACTTCATTTTCTGCATCTAGAAAATCAGTGTAGGACTACTTTTATGCTCTAGGAGGATGGAACAAATGACAAACTAAAATGTACTACTGCAGACTGTATCTGCAGGCAATGTGTCACACAGGCCTAGACCACACCAGCAGAGACCAGAAGTAGTCTACTAATCATTGACAAATGATGGATCACTCAAGATGCAAATTTACCCATAGTAACTGCCTTTCATCTTAAGTGAGTCTCTCTCCTCATTCTGACCATAAACACCAAAGCCTGCTTCCAGCTAAGCCTCGGCAGATACACAGTAGAACACAAAGGTGTTTTGGCTGGGAGGAGGCTGTGGAGGAGCAGAAAACAACAAAGTGCGCCTTCCACGAGCCCCCTCACAACACGGATATAAATACTTCATCTAAAGGCTTAGATTTTGTGTGATTTTTCTTTGAAGGTCTATACCGTTCCACCACTGTGACAAAACAACTGAGATAATCAACTTTTAAGGAGGAAAGACTTATTTGGGGGTCATGGTTTGTCCGTGGTCAGTTGACTCTTGCTTTGGGGCCCATGGCAAAGCAGATCGTCATGGGGGGAACTCATGGTGGAGCACAGCTGCTCACCTCATGGCAGCTGGGAAACAGAGGAAGGCTCAGGGTCAGTCCCAATATCCCCTTCAAGGACACACCCTCAGTGACCTAACTTCCTTCCACGAGGTCCCACCCCCTAAAGGTTGTACTCCTTCTCCCAACAGAACCATCAGCTGAGAACCAAGCCTTCAAACATGGGCTTTCAGGGCACATTTACTATCCAAACACCCAGCTGTTATGCCATGGTGGGACCCCAATTCCAAAGAGGATAAACTTGAGGGGTCAGATGCAGAGTGCTTAAATCTTGACACCTTACCAGCTGTGCAACTGTGGGCCAATTACTCAATTCCTCTGTACTGCTGATGCTTCTGTAAGCTAGGGATTAGTCATAGGTCTTCATACAGATTGTGCTACTTAGACAGCAATCAGAACAATGCTTACTACAAATAACACTATCATAACTGATTTGGTAAACCTGGCATTCTAAAACGCTGACACATATTCCATGTGTATGAGCTGATCCTGCAGACACAGTCTCTCCATTTTCTGAGTAAAATGCTGTCAAAAGGGTGGCCATTCATTTACTTGAGGTAAGAAAGGGAGAAACAGTTCAAATAAGCAGTAGCAGCTATATTCTCACTTCAACTATTCCCTGGGCTTCCACTTGCTTTGGAGGTTTTTGACACAGCCTTATGTTGGGCAGCTCTTCAATGCTGGAAAATAAAGAAATTTACCCCAGCATGTGCTCCTCATAAAAGCAGAAAGCAGGCTAGCAGCAGTGGTCTTCAGGGAGTAGAGGGAGCTTGTCACCAGGATGCCTTTGGCAGAAGGCTGATCTCGGAGCTGCAACAGGCCCAGAAACTGCCCTACAGAGGCTTCATGACCCAGTGACAGCTGCCACTCCCAGTCTCCCACAACATATTACCCACTGTCAACAGCAGACATGCCAGTTCTTCAAGGGTGCAGTGTGGTACTTCGGCAAAGGGCAGGAGGGGAGGGCAGGAAATTTAAGAAACACATTCTGTCCAAGCATTATTACAAAGAAACAATTTGGATACGCTCTCAAAATTAAAATACCTCAGCAAAGCTTCCTTCCCTTCTAACCTTAGAAAAACTCAGGTTGGGCTGAGGATAGTGGCTCAAATCCATAATGCAATCTACTCCAGAAATGGAGACTGGGAGTATCATGGCTTCAGGCAAGCCTGGGCAAAAACTTTGCAAGACTCCATCTCAACCAATGGTTAGTCACACAGGCACATGCCTGCCATTGCCAGCTATGTGGGGAAGCACAAATAGGAGGATCATGGTCCAGGACAACTCCAGCATAAAGCAAGACCTTATCTCGAAAATAACCAATGCAACCAGGCGCCAGTGGCTCACACCTGTAATCCTAGCTACTCAGGAGGCAGAGATCAGGAGGATCCCGGTTCAAAACCAGCTCGGGCAAACAGAGACCCTACCTCAACAAATAAAACACACACACACACACACACACACACACACACACGCGGCTGGCAGAGTGGCTCAAGTGGTAGAGCATTTGCCTGGCAAGTGTGAGGCCCTGAGTTCAAGCCCCAGTACCACCAAAATAAAAAAAATTAATTAACCATTGCAAAAAAGGGCTGGTGAAGCAGCTCAAATGGTAGCGTGCCTACCTAGCAAGTGAGGGCCTGAGTTCAACCACCAGTACTGCAAACAAAAAACTCAAGTTGTATTTGATTTTCCTCTAAGACTCATCCATCTCCTCCTCCACAAAATGACAGTGAGATTAGCAAAAGAAATCCTGTATTTAAAAAAAAAAAATGCATTTTAATCCTTCCTAGAGGAATACAGATTTGAATGAAATACATTCATTTCATAAATACATTAGCAGCAAAACCTTCCCACCAGAGTCCTCTACTCCAGCCCAGAGGTTGTGCCTTCGAGTAGGCGGTCATGTTCCATCCACTGTCAACTTGAGGATGTCTGCTTGAGAAAAGCTGTGTTCCTGCTCACCAGGGCCTGAACGCAGGTCCATATGGTAACCACTGAGTCTTCTCTATCTTCCAAATTCACTGGCTTCCTTCATGCTTACCTGGTGAGGTCCTTAAGCAGACAACTAGGAAGGCCTAACTCTGCAAATTCACCCTTGAGTTTGCAGTCATTTGTTGCTGAGTTGTAACATTTGATGTTGTCTTGAACTTCTCATAGAATAAACCAAACATAAAAGAGCATTCTCTTCCTTCCCTTCCATGGACTGAGATACTTCTTTGTCAATCCAGCAGGCATTATTTGGACACTATGTACCTCCAGGTCCTCTGTGTCTGAATGGCTAGAGGCGTTAGAGGAGATAGACATGGTCAAACCTTACAAAGATCTCCAGGTAACAATAACCAGGTGATTCACCCTGGCTTCCCACAAAGCTAGTTTCTTGGGCAGCAGCCAGGTACCTCTCCTTTTCTTCTATCATTATTCACTGACTGACAAGGCCTTTCCTATTTGCCCTGTAGGCAACTGCTAAAAATTTGGGAATCAAGATCTAACCTAAACTCCCAAGTGGCCAGGAGAAGTTAGGGCAGATGCTGCTTGAAATCTCTGATGCAGTCAATACTTCCACTGCTCTCTTCCAACCCACTCTGCAATGCAAGCAAGTCATAGTCTGCATAAAACATGGTCAGCAATTGAGATGGCTGTGGGGCAAGGATCAAGTTCAGAGTGTTACCAGGTCACAGGACTGACAGCAAAAAGGAGTAATGGGAGAAACTGAAATAAATCTGATTTGTTTGGGCAGAACGCCACTCTGACTCAGGCATAAATTCATTTCCCAAATTATCATGTAAATTAAGAACAAACTTCAACAGCTAACCCTTTCCTCCCTATCCATCACTTAAAAACAGGATACATGTTCTCCCCTCCCAGTCAGTTTTAAAGCATTTCCACTCAGACAGTCTTCTGTTTCTGTAAGTGCTTTATCCGTTCTCATTCGGTCTGTTTTGACTACTGGCTGGAAGGAAATCAGAAACCATTTTATAAAAACCATTGTAGTGGATAACTGGTTGTGTGTCTTTCCCTTTGCATTCACCATCCAAAGCAGTTGCTTTTCTTTTATTTATGTGCAGAGAGAGACTCGTCTGCTGAATACATAGCATTGTTAATCTGACAGTCTTCTGTCCCCACAGAATCTGGAAGGTCTTCCTCCTCTGAGTCATCCTCCTCTTCCTCCTCTTGTGCTGAGGAGACAGAGGTGGGCCCTTTGCAAGTTTTCAAGTGGCGGATGAGATGATATTTGGTTAGATAAGCCTTTGTACATTTTTCACAGACATAATCCCGTTTTCCTTCATGAGAATTGAGATGCTTCTTTAAGTGATTTGTTCTCAAGAACAGCTTATCACACTTGTGACATTTGATCTGGCGGTCTCTAAGAGGAACACAAGAGAAATATTTGATTGGGGTTTGCAAATGACAACTGAGGCACACATCTTTGTCAGAGAAGTGCATCCTTTTAGAATCAGGCTTTTTTGTTTAAAATAGGAGATAAACAGAGGAGTCATAAATCAGGTACAGTTCAACTAGCATAGGCTTTTGTTTCCCGTTTTAGAATCTATGCAAATGGGATCATCCTATGTATATTTCTTCAGCTGAATAGGAAGTTTGTGAAACTCACTCACCTCACTCTGTTTCCTTCCACTGCTGCATACTATTTACAAACAGACCACAACTTGTCTGTAGTACTGGTTTTGTCCATTGCTAATAGATATTCTGGTGTTTTTCAGTTTTTTATTATCACAGGCAAGATTCTATGAACATTTCTATACTTGTATGTTGTTCTGTGATAAGTGTGTGTCTCTCTAGAGTTTATACACTGGAGCAGTATACAGTTGGATCAAAGGACAGGCACATCTTCAAGGTCAAAGAAAATGGTAACTCCACCGTTTTTGGAACAGATCGTATCTAAAATACTGTGTTTATTTCTGGGGACCAAATTTGAAACTAGGTACTAAGACAAATCGCACAAACTAGGGACATTTGGCCTCATTAAAGAGGGATTAATGAAAACATAGCACTGACCACAAACTCCATAAAAGGCTGGCAAGAATAAACAATCCACCCAGCTGCCAGAGATGTAGCAACCAGTCCACCCTTGGATGAACTTAGCCAAGTTCTAAACCTTGGCTGGGTATTAGAGTCACTTGGGGAGTTTTGTAAAATGGCAGGACCAAGGCTCAATTCCTAAGTGTTTAATTAGAATCTCTAAGGGTAGGGTCCTGCCACCAACAGTTTTTCACATTCCTGAGGTGTTTATAATGGGCAGCATTATAGACTGAATGCCCACTTCTACAGACAGGCCCCACATTTGCTTGCTGGAGCCCTAATTCTCAGCATGAGGTGGGCCTTCATGATGGGATTCCCGTCCTTATAATAGTAAGAAAAACCCAAACTCTTATCCTCTTTCCTATCCCTCCTTCCCTCCCCACCCCCACAACTGGAAGACTGGATGGCTTAAACAGCAGAAGTGTATTTTCTCAGTCAGGAAATCTGAAGTCAGAATGCCAGCATGGCTGGGTTCTTGTGAATGACCTCTTCCTGACTTCCTCATGGCTGCTTTCTCTCATTGTGTCTCTCCCCTGCTGTTTAAGCCACTCAGCCTGTAGCATTTTGCTATGGCTACCTAAGCTAACCAGAGAGTCTGACTACATGATCCCAGAGATTTCCTTAACTGATACTGGACAAGTCTATAAATTTGATAATTGTCTCATTTTCCAAAAATTTTACACAAATTATGAAGCTAATGAAGAATTTGCTTTAAAAGGTCCTTTATAGCCAAGTACAATTGTGGCTGCCTATAATTCCAGCAACTTGAGAAGCTGATCAGTTTGAGTTCAGCCTGGGCAATACAGCAAGACCCATTAAAAAAACAAAAAGGTCTTAAGGTCCTTTTGAGAGCTGTGATGTAGATCCAGACTCCTTGGCAGTTTAGTGTTTTAAGTTGCATTGTGAATAGAAAGTAGACAAAAAGAGCTGGTATCAAAGCAAAGCTGTTATCCGAACCCTATGATAAGAATATAAAGTTCCCAGTGACTATGGATTTCTAAAGAACACTTCCGTAACACTAGCTAACAATGTTTTCTCCTTCTTCCAACACTTGCTCAAAGCTGAGAACCAGAGTTTATGTTAAATCTGTGCCAGTTTATTACACTTGGATTCAGCAATAAATTCCTACTCAACCTCTCAATATTTGGTCTTTTCCCCATGAGTCACTCTCTAGCCATCTGACAGAGTAACATTTCTAGAATGGACCTGCCACCACAACACGACATCCCTCTCCTTAAGTCCTTCAGTGCTTCACAACCATGGGAATACAATGGTTAACAAGGCAAACTGTTTTTTGTTGTTGAACCATAACTGAACACACAGCACAGAATACTTCCAGTGCACAGCAGGGGGTGTGAGGAAGATCATTCCATGGCTCCCCACTATCTCCAGAATGAAATTTAATTTTCTTAATAGGATAAGAGGTTCTTTGTGTTGTCAGGATTGTCTCTCCATTACTCTGTGCTCTAACACAAAGAACTACATTCTATATTCACTTCTGCACCTGTGTTTCTGTCGATGCCTTCCCCCCGCCAATCTAGAGTACCATTCTCACTCCTTAGCTTCCTCTGCCTCCCTGAATAATTCTAATTGATCTTCTTTCAAACTACCCAAACTACCAGGCACCCTGGCCAGATTCCCCTAGGCTGGCTTAGGTGCCCCTCTTCTACGGTCTTTCAGCATCCAGTGCAGGGATGTTACTTGTCCACATCTCTTCCTAGACCTGGGCTCTTCAAGGACAGGGACAGTGTCTTTCACCCCTGAATCTCTTACACCTAGCACAATGCCAGGCATCAAGGAGGTTAATTTTAAAAATATGTTCAGTGAATTATTAAATGAGATTATAAAACATGAATACAAAATACAGAGATAAGATGTGAAAAATAAGTACAGAAAGAAGACAAGTGAAATCTTCCAGGATAAAAACAAAACCTCTGCCTGTCTACGTACAGAAGGTACCTACCTCATACCAAGGGAGAAAACAGATGCTCAGTCAGCACCTTAGGTGCTGGAGTGCCACACTTACTACTGCCACTGAGGGCAACTTACTGTGTGTGGATGAGCACATGCTGCTTGAGGTCCTGCCTCCGCATAAACAGCTTGTCACAGTAATCACACTTGAGATTCTTCTCGCCCGTGTGGATGACCATGTGGGACTCCAGGTGAGCCTTCTGGGTGAAAGACTTGTCACACAAAGTACACTTATAGTTCTTCTGACCTGCAAATCACCCAATTTATCACAATGCAAATAAAGCAACTGCTGGCATTCTCAAAACAAATGGGCACGTGTGGGTGTCATCAGAGGCAGGAATAAAGCAGAACGAACTGGTACCTGGCACTTGACTTTCTAAGACTGATGTCCTAGAAACACTTAGTTTACATTCTGCCTCCTGCTAGGACATCGTATATAACATCATATATATATATATATATATATATATATATATATACATATACATATATACATACATACATATATACATATGTGTATATATATGTATATATACATATATACATATGTATATATATACATATATATGTATATGTACACATATATACATGTGTGTTATATATATATATATATATATATATATGTATATATATATGCTTATAGCTGACACATGATAGAAAACTCAGGGAACAAAATCACTTATAACCCAAGGGCCCACCTAACACAAAAGAACTCATGAATTCTAGCACCTGTCTATAGGCAAACATTTTTTATAAGTTACACTTTAGTCGGGTGCCAGTGACTGACGCCTGTAATCCTAGCTACTCAGGAGGCAGAGAACAGGAGGATGGAGGTGCAAAGCCAGACTGGGCAAATAGTTCATGAGACCTTATCTTGAAAAAAACCCATCACAAAAAAAAAGGGCTGGGAGTGGCTCAAGGTGTAGGCCCTGAGTTCAAACCCCAGTACCAAAAAAAAGTTACACTTTGTACTTTTGTATCTTTTTTTTTTAACACATACAATATGATCTCATAAACCTGAGGTGAAATAAAATCCTTCTAAGAAGGTCTAAGACCACCCCTCTAAGTCAGGAGTTGGAAAACTTCTCCTAAAGGGTAGAGTCAGTGCTTTATGCTTTTGGGCCACATGGTTTCTTGCTGCAACTACTCAGTCTTAATATAAAAGTTCTTTTTGACAACTTGGAGAACAAATGACTCAGCTAATAAAGCTAAAACCTCACTGGTTTAACTTTGAAGTACATACAAAAAGAGTAAGAGCTGGAAAAAAGGGGAGGTTTGCATGAAGTTTAGAAAATGGAAGCTCAATGATCAAAAGAAGGCAGTGTTTACTCAGCAATGTTCAAGGAGAACACTGCCGGCAGTGTTTACTCAGCAATATTCACAGAGAAAATTGGTGCTGGCTGGTGACAGTGCTGAGCTCCAGCAGGAAGCTCGGACTATTTCTATGGGATACCCTTTAAGTTCAAGTGCACTCACCAACTTTCTGATTATTTACATTTTTCTAGTTACCTTGAAACTATGCAGGGGTGGGGGGGTGCGTTAGAAAGTGGAGCAACTTACACTGGAAGTAACACCCTCTAAGGAACCTCAGTTACCTCCCACCAACGTTTATCACCTGAGGAGATTATGCCAACAGCCATCTGGATTCTTTCTCTGACACATCAACTCTACCTGCAGTATTTTCTTTCTGTGAAGCTTCGTGACTGCAATTTCTATTTTTATGTGAACATAGACATTTATTGTGGGGCCATCAGGGGTAAGGGCTCATTCCTTGGCTGCTGCCTTTGTCATGACTGCAATTTCAATTGCTGCAAACATTCCATTCTGTTGGTCCAATACAACTTACCTGTATGTATCTTGAGGTGGGTCCGCAGGTTGCTCGGATCACTAAAAGCCTTGCTACAGAAATCACATTTGTAGGGCTTCATACCCATGTGACCCATAAAGTGGACGTGGAGTTTGGAAGGAGAGATAAAGGCTTGAGGACAAATTGAGCACTTCCACCTCCTTTCTTTGCTATGGTTTGGCCCATGGCTACTGCTGTGGCCGTGGCTAGGGAGGTGGTTATGGATGTGGCTGGTCAGATGAGCCTTGAACTCTGAATAGGAACTGCACTCCTTGCCACAGTTACAGAGGTGTACATCTGGGTGTTCAGGAACACCTATTTTTAGGGAAAACAAAAACAAAAACAAAACCAACATTACTCAGTGTCTCTTGATACTTAAATTTCAAAACTTGTCCTTCACACTAATAATTGCTGCTCATAATTCTCCCTTCTACCAAAATTTCCAACTTGCCCAATACCTGTAAAATGAAAACATCTTGTTCAATGTTCTAAGCCCCCAGAATCTAAAATAGCATACCAACCACACAGAAAGCACTTGTAAACACTGGATTACAGGGCTTCTTTCCTAAGGAAAGAATTTACATTCTGTATCACAGTCTTAAATAGCACTTGCCAACATGACATCATGGAAAGAGAAAGCTCAAGCACATTAAATCAGATCAAGGGACTTTATCGACCTTCACAAACTTAAATCCTGAAACTACTGGCTCAAAAGGCAGTCTTAGAAGGTTAAAAGTCCCAAATCAAAGTCCTGCCATAAAAGCTCACTTCACATGAATATGCTTAGTCAGTAACATTCAGCTGGTGAAAATCTCACAGATTTTAACACCTCAAATCCAACATTAAAAGCTTGCTTTTCTATATACCAGCTGCCAGGTAAATCATTACCAGAATTTTATTCCTGGCCCTTGATGTTCTACTCTGCTAGATTCATGACAGCCTTACAAACTTACCTATCTGCTGAGCATAATTCCGGCTGTAATAGAAAAGTAGTTCATTTTCAGGAAGGATGTCTTGTGAGGTGCAGAAATAGATTTTTCCATCGTGGGGATAAGCCACCAAATTCTGCTCTTCTCGGTTCCTAAATTATCACATTTAATAGGTCAAGCATATTAATTTTTCATCGTATCTTGTTTTTTTGTTTTTGGCAGTACTAACATATGAACTCAGGGCTTTGCACTTGTTAGGGTAGGTGTTCTACCACTTGAGCCAGGTGTCTAGCCCTTAATTATTATTATTTTTTTTAAAAGAGACAGGGTCTCACTATGTTGCCCAGGCTGGCCCCAAACTCCTGGACTCAAGCAATCCTCCTGCCTCAACCTCCCAAGTAGCTAGGACTACAAGTGTGCACCACCACACTCAACTAAGCATGGATTTCCTTTTTTAAAATTGTTTTGCAGTGATGGGGATGGAACCCAAGGCCTTGTATATACATGCTAGGCAAGCCTCTACCACTAAGCTATATCCACAGCCCCTCAGTCTATTAATTTTGAAATGTATACTAAATGTCAATACACCTGGTACAGAAGTCCTATATGAAACCTTAGGACTATTTTTTCTAGATCATTTTTGTAATTCTCTATCCTCCCTATTAGGAAGAGACTTATGGAGAAACAGAATTCTTACTTCAGTTACATTAGTTGATTACCCTTTATACTCAGAAACACTACAGTCTGCTACTAGAAGCAAAAATAGTAAATGAAATAGCTGGGTGCTGGTGTCTCATGCCTGTAATCTTAGCTACTCAGGAGGCAGAGATCAGGAGGATCATGGCAAATAGTTCGCAAGACCCTATCTCAAAAAAACCTATCACAAAAAAAAAGGGCTGGTGGAGTGGCTGAAGGTGTAGGCCCTGAATTCAAACCCAAATCCCTCAAAAAAAAAAAAAAAAAAAAGTAAAATAAAATGTTAAAAAAACATCATGGCTGGGTACCAGTGGATCACACCTATAATGTAGGTAACTTAGAAGGCTGGATCAGGAGGATCTCAGTTTTCAGGCCAGCCTAGGCAATAAAGTTTGCAAGACTCCATCTCAACAATAAAAAAAGCTGGGTTTGTGGTGCATACCTGTCATCCAAGCAACAAATAGGAAGATCATGGTTCAGGTTGCCATGGGCAAAAAGCAAGACCTTACCTCCAAAATAACCAGCACAAAGGCTGGAGTGTGTGGTAGAGCACTTGCTTAGCAAGCGCAAAGCCCTGAGTTAAAAAAACCTAGTATCCAAAAAAAAAAAACTGTTATGACAGGTTTAGCACAGTTGCCCACACCTATAATCTGAGCTGGGAAGTATAGACAGGGAGGATTACAGTTGAAGGCCAGCCTGGATGAAAGTTAGCAAGACCCCATCTTAACCAATAAAGTTGGTCATGGTGGCATGTGCCTGTTATGCTAGCTACGTGGGAAGTTTAAATAGGAGAATCATGGTCCAGGCCTGCCTGGGCAAAAATACAAGACCCTATTTTAAAAATTACTAAATGGAAAACAGGGCTGGGGGCACAGCTTAATGGCAGTGTCCCTGCCTAGAAAGCATGAAGCCTCAGTTCAAATACCAATATGGCCAAAAAAAAAAAAAGGTGACAATGACATAAAGGCAGCAAGTTAATTAAAATTAACTCCAGTAATGGCCTGAAGAAATGACTAACTGCCAATATACAAAGAGAAGGCACCATTTGCAAATTTAATGGTGACTATCATTCCTTACTGCACTGGTAAGTTAAATAAACTGTTCATTTAAAAAAGGACAGTTTCACATGATCTGCTTAGAGCCACCATCAGTCAACCAGTACTGGAATAATCATGTTGAAAAGCCTCAGGTTTTAGTATGACCAAGTACTAGTAGTTTGGCTTCTTCTGGTCTTCCATATTTTATGGAAAGCCCCCCCACTGAAAAAAACATCTGAAGAGTAAATTCTCTCTCTCAGACCATTCCTACCTGGCTTTGCGCACAAACATCATCCAATTACATTCGTTTTCATCAGCTGTAATGAGGCAGAATTCTAGGACACCATTGTGGTATATCTGCCAACAGAAAGCAAGCAAGCGTGTCAAATGAACTGACAAGTGATAAAGTTCTACTCTACATTTTAGATAGCAATCCTTTCATTTGCTCATTTGCAGCAGCTACCAGCTCTCCTAGTCAGTGTGTAAAGACATGGCTATCCTCTCCCCATGCTTACCATTTCATCAGTCCTATTTCCAGAAATACAGCCAAGAACACAGAGACCTTCGGTTGGTGCTCAGCGTACAGACTAACTCTATTACTGAGTATTTACTTGGCTGGAAAGGACAGTCTACTTGTCACCTGTCTTCATCACACTGTAAGGCAGGCACAGAATGACTGTTCACTGAGGACAGAGGACCACCCCTCCTCAGTTGGACCTAGCATTCCTCTATGCTGTCTCAAACATTAAAATTAAAGTCGCCAGTGACAGTGGCACCTTACTTTTCCAATTATCCTATGATCCACTTTCTCCCCACTTCAACTCTGCAAACATGTTTCCCAATTCACTAACTGAAATTCTATATAGCCATGTTACAGGAATAGCTGTTTATGTTAAAACCCTGCGTTCCCACTACAAAACTAGAGAAATTATTTTACTTCTAATTCTAGAATTGCATCCCAAGGTAAATATTTAAGGAACATTTTCATTAATTAATAAGCTTTTTTTAGCATATAAATAAAATCCATGGCCTCAGCTACCACAAGTAATTAAAATGCAAAAAAGTTATTAAAAACCATTGGATTATCCCACAAAATAGACTAAATCAGTTTACTCTTTATTTGTTCAATAGATGGTCTTTTGTAGTATACCTTGGCTGCCAAGAATAACAGAAAATGTGATATTAAGTAAATGACTGACAGGTGAATGGCACTGCTCAGTCTGGGCTAATTTTGACATTATTTCAGTTCTTAAACTACTGTACCATAATAAAAACAGCCAAAAGTAATGAAAGCTTTACCAACACTGACCTTCCAGATATGGTTAGCCGCCTTGTCCGTCCACTCTGCCACTTCCATGGAGTGACTCTGCTGCCCAATTAGAGGCCCAAAGCAAGTCCGCACGGGAATGGTTTCTGCAGTCCAGACACCTATCAGTGGAGAGAATACACCAACTACATAATCAATGATTAAACAACTAATAGGAGACAAAGACAGGTGCTCAACCCATGCACCAACGCCTCCCAATTTAGCAATCCTCAGAAATACTGATGCTTCTACTTCTGAGAGGCATCTAAGGCTTGTGGGTTCTACTGTCAACATCAACATGCAAAAGTAACACGATATGGCTCAGAAGAAATGCAGAATAAGAAGCAATACAGAAATCCCTGAATCTAGCTGCACATACAAGAAACCTAACCATGTCTCTCCACATACATTACTTTGGAGTTAATACACAAAAAAGGAGAGAAAAATTATTCTACTATAAAAATATAAAAGCAATTAGTACAAAATAAATCAACTTCTAAATCTTTTGTGCTTAAAGCACTGCTCTATTACCTTAACTAGCATTTTCAAAAGACTCATGCCTTACATGTGAAGGAATGGGAGACACTTGCACGCTCATGTTTACTGCAGCACTATTCACAAGAGCCAAGCTATGGGATCAGCCTAGGTGCCCATCAACCAACAGGTGGAAAGAAAATGTGATATGTATACACTGGAGTATTATTCAGCCATAAAGAAGAATGAAATTTTGTCATTTATGGAAAATGAATGGAACTGGAGACCATCATGTTGAGCAAGATAAGCCAAGCTCAGAAAGGCAAATATCATGTTTTTCCTCATATGCACAATCTAGACATAATATTTACAAAACATTATTGCAAAATTGGGACTGGGGAGAACCAGTGAGAGGAGGGGGAGGAGAAAGGAGTGTGATAGGGGGTGGCAAATATGATTTAAGTACGTTACACATATAAAAGCAGCGCAATGAAACTCATTAAAACATGTTTTTAAAAAAGTGGGGGAGGAAGGATAATAAAGAGGGTGAATTTGATCAAAGTACATTATTTGCCCAGGGCATTGGTGGCTCACGCCTGTCAGGAGGCAGTGATCAGAAGGATCTCAGTTTGAAGCCAGCCCAGACAAATAGTTCACAAGACCCTATCTCGAAAAATCCTTCACAAAAAAGGATTGGTGGGGTGGCTGAAAATGTAACCCCTGAGTTCAAACCCTATTACTGCCAAAAAAAAAAAAAAAGTGCATTATTTGCATGTATGGAAATATCACAATGAAACCCCTTTGTACAATTAATATACGCTAATAAAAAAAAATTTTAAAAGACATGTCCAATCTGCAGTTGAAAGAGAATGAACCCAATTTTATATTTTCGGGGAAATAACCCAGTAACTCGGGAGCCATGACCAAGCCATGGGTAAATACATCCTGGCAATCTACATTCTTTACTCCTTTATCCAAAGAAGTATTACACAGTTTGCAAACTTTTTTCTTTTTTGGTGGGACTGAGGGGTTTGAACTCAGGGCTTCATGCTTGCAAAGCAGGTACTCTACTGCTTGAGCCATACCTCCTCTGGGCCACACCTCCTCTGGTTATAGACATGGAGTCTTGCAAACTACTTGCCCAGGCTGGCCTAAACCTTGCTCCTCCTGATCTCAGTCTCCCAAGTAGCTAGGAGTATAGGCATGCATGAGTCACTGGCACCCAGCTAAAGTTTTTTTTTTTCTTTTGGCAGAATAGTGGTTTGAACTCAGGGCCTCGTGCTTTCTGGACAGGAGTTTTACCACTTGAGCCATGCCTCCAGCCCTAAATTTGCAAACTTTTTATCTAAGTATCTTTGGTACTATACAATTATCAGCAGTGAATTTTCCATGTTTCAATAAATGAAACTAAGTTTCAAAGAGTGTATGGTTAGGGTAATTGTTAGTGTATCAGACAGCTGAGAATCAGTCAAATCTTTAAAGACTCAGGCCAGGATTCTTTCCAGGATTCAATTCTGATTCTACAAAGAGGCTTTCTAATAGTTTCAACTTGATTTATTGCTATCACAACCAGATACGACAAATATTCCCTAGAAGCATAAGCCTTAAGCTATTAAGTTGACTTTTGGATCAATGAACTAATAACTAAATTATACCCATATACTTTTACAACTCTGCTATACAAAGGAAGAAGAAACTTGATGAAGTTTTATGGCTCCAAATTCTTACCAACTTCTGCTCCCACAATTGACTGGCGGAGAACAAGCTGCTTTGGGAGCGAAAGTCTCGCTCTGCTCTCTATTGGAGTATCAGGAACAAAAGTCACTGGTCCATGATCAGGGCAGTCTGAGGGGTACGCTCGGTCACAGAGAGTGCACCCTGCAGACAGTGAATTTAAGAGACACAAATTGGGTGTGTAGTTCACACAGGCTAACCTACCATCTGGATTTTTAAAATTTAAAAGCTAATTGCTAAAATGCAACCAGTAAGAAACTAGTTCTAGTAGAAACATTCTGATTTATTATACTAAAATATGTCTACTCTTTACCTCTCTTCAAATTTCAGTAAGGCCTAATTTTCTTTCAGTTCAATAAGTAACCTATTCAGTGCATAAAAGAAAGACTGATTAAAAAACAACACAAAGGTCTGGGAATGTAGCTCAGTGGTATAGAGTGCTTGTCTAGCATGTGTAAGGCCCTGGATTTGGTCCCTAGAACCACCAAAAAATAAAACATGGTATTATTTCAACCATCAAGTATATTATCCTTTACATTAAGTAAATAACCAATACTTTTACACATGATACCCTAAAGTACAAAAGATGCCAATTCCAAACTATAAAAGGAACTGAGTTAAAATGTTAGTCATGCAGAATAGAAACAGGGGTGACATTATAGGACAGCAGTCCAAGCCAGTGGCACCATGGTGCATTTTTGCTTTACCTGTCAACCTGGTTTTAATGACACATTTCTGAATGGAAGGGAGTAGGGGAGGTGCAACCTAATCTCTGGAGAATAGGTAGAATCATCTTATAACTCAATTGTTCTTGTTAATATAGTCTTTCTTCTGCCCTGTCAAGAGAGGGCACTGCCTGCATATACTGCTTCTATCCCTACAACTTCACTTTTACAAGTTTATTAGTGTTCTTCCCCACAAATCTTTTGCTCTTCTTTATACTTTCCCTCTGTTAAGGAATAGTATTCATTATGTTATTCAATGACTGAGTTTAAACTTTCCAAACTTGTTGACAAAATAGTTGGAATACATAAATAAACCTTAAAACCACAGCCATCTAAGTGTCTTATTTTCTTAAATTCACACTTGAAATCTGTACTTAAGTGGTAAAATGTAAGTAAGGTTTCATATTTAGGCAAAATAATAATAATATGTTACTACTTTAGGTACTACTTGGTAAAAAATTCTTCTGAGTTAACAGATTAGAGATCACCTACACAGGTAACTGGTTCTCCGATTGTCTTAGGGGAATCACTTCCAAACAAAGAGACTCTGATTTCATACTGCAAACATGCTCAGACCCAAAGAAGACAGGAATGACCCAAGTACAGGAAAGATGTTTAACATAGTAAGTCCTCAGGGAAATGAAAATGTAAATAAAAATACAAACTATGAGATATCACTTCACACCCACTATAATGGCTATAATAAAAACAGATTTTTTTTTTGTGGTACTTGTTTTGAACTCAGGGTATTGAGCTTATCAGGCAGGCGCTCTACCACTTAAGCCATGGCTCGAGACCTTTATGCTTTGGTAATTTTTGAGATAGGGTTGGTCTTGCATTTATGCCAAGTCAGCGTGGACCAAGATCCTCCTATGCTTCTTGTCAAGCTGGGATGGTGGATGCATGCCATCATGCCCAGCTTTTTTATTGGTTAGATGGGGTCTCGCGAACTTTTTGTCTGGGCCTCGAACCATAATTCTCCCAACCTCAGCTTCTGAGTAGCTATAGAACAGACATGAGCCACCACGCCTGGCAAAACAGCAAAAATTTAAGTGCTGGCAAGGATATGTAAAATGGAACCCACATACACTACTGCCAGGTATATAAAATGCCATAGCAGCTTTGGTAAATACTCTGCATTTCCCCAAAAAGTTAAACATACACAGTGCGCCTCATAAATGTCAGTTTAAAAATTAAAAAAACATACAGCATACACCTGTAATTCCAGCAACCCAGGAGGCTAGAAAGTTCAAGGCCAGCCTATGCAACACAGTGAGACCCACTTTCAAAAAATTTAGATATATAGAGGTTTTTGATTACGTTTCTTGCAGGGCTGGGGATTGAATCCAGGGCCTTTGTGCACACTAAATGCTCTACTGCAGCCCAAATTCTTAAAGAGTTAAGCACTTCCACTGGGAACACTTCCACTCCCAGATACATACCCAAGAGGATTTAAAACATGTTCATGAAAAACCTGCACATGAATGCTCACAGCAGCCTTATTCATAATAGCCAAAACGCAGAAAACGGCCAAATGTACATCAACTCATAAAGGGATAAACAAAATATATATTCATATTATGGACTATTATTCAGCTATGAAATGGAATGAAGTACTGAGACATGCTATATTACTGAGCTATCACAATATTATGCTAAGGGAAAAAGCCAGCCAGAGAGAAGGCTACATATCATACAACTCCAAAATCCAGAGACAGAAAGGAGACCAGATGCCTAAGAATGGGGTAGAAAGAAGGCATGAAGAGAAACTGCCAATGCTAAAAATGTTTTCTAATTAAGACATTGGTGATGGTTGCACACCTTTTGGGTATACTGGAAGGTAATAAATTGCACATTTTTAAATGTCTATGTCAACGATATCTCAATTAATGAGCCTTATATTTATTACACTATTTGATTAAAATACTTAAACATTATAAATTTGAAATTTAAAAGGTTAATACAGAGGGTCTCCCTGCTGACTTGCTTCTGAGGCCCCACATCATCCTGACTTCCTCCACTTTTTGGACCCTACTTCCTGTTCAGTCTACTTCAGAAGCTCTTCCTCTGCTCCTGTATCTTGACACCCTAGCCCTCTTCTCTTCTCTTCTCATCCACTCTCAACAGATGATTTCATCCAAGGCCACTTTTGCACATCATAACGTTAAGGATCCCTAAGTTATTCCAGTCAGGTTGATACTCCTGAGCTCCATATTCAACTTTGCATTAGACACTTCTGAGCACCCTAGACACTGAACCAACTGAAAACTGGACTCATCATCACTCCAAAAAAAAAAAAAAAAACCTAATCTGCTTCACCTTTCATTAGCCTATCTACCTAGCAAGCCATACTGACTTCTCTGCAAATGACCTACCTACCTCTACACTGGAAACATCACCACGTTTCACTTGAATTATGACATCACCTTCCTAATGTACTTGCCTCTACACTGCAGTCCAACACTTACTCCTGGTCTTACTCCTACTTCTCAGATGACCCCATTTCTCTACATTTCCACAATCCTGAACCATACTTGATTCTTTTAGTCTTAGGCACTTATAGGTGCCAACTCCTGTCTTCCCGACATCTTTCTTGTCCTTAAGGTCTGTGCCACCATGTGTGTTACCTCCCTTGACTCCTGCACAGACTAGATAGTGCTCTCCTCCTGGCTGCTTTAGCTCTATGAGCTTAAACCCATCTTCACACTCACCATTCTGTGTTGCAATGGCTTGCCTGTCTATACTTCCTTAAAGGTATGTACTGTCTCTGTGGACTTTTCTATCACCAGTGCTTAGCATAGATGTCGGCATATAGTAAGCACATATTTCCTGCATGAATAAAGCACCTAGTGACACCAACAAATTACCCATGTTGATATGGCTTTTTTGCTGTTGCCCAATAAAAAGAACTTTTACATACCCAACTAAGGTATATGTATTGAGTAAAAAAAAAAAAAAAAAAATTGCATTTATATCCATTTACATTTCTCCACAGTTATAAAAAGTAACCTAATTTTTTTCCCCTCTTGGTCTTATGTTGAAAGAATACAGTACATGTCACACTCATCGGGCTAAGCTTATCTGTAAAATACAGAAATTACTTCTGTTTATTTCTTTCCTTCAAGAGGATGCTATAAAACCAATGAAATATTTGGATTTATATTATTATAATATTATAACAGTTGGTATATTATTTGACTTAACTTGAGGAAAAGGTGCCACACTAATAAAAGACCAATACAAAGGCAAAGAAAAATTCCTAAGTCTAATTACTTTCCACACTTCCTTAATCAATGCCAGACTCTATCACTAAACCTAGTAGAGATTATGGCCTTTTAAGCCAATGTTTCCAAAAGAGAAAAGCTAAGTACACTCACAAATTGTAAACAAGGTGGCCATGTTTTCCTTGTTTGAATTGGAGTCTTCCATTTGCAGTGAAGGTGGTACAAAAGAAAGACTGTCTGAAGATACATCTACATGACCTGTCCCCATAGCAACCTCCTGGGTGATGGAGGAGACAGCCACAGGTTCTAGGCTGAGGCCAACTTCATGGAGAGAAACAGATTCTAGGGAGGCGAGGTTATGTGAGGTAGAGAGGGCCACGCTTACAGAGTTAGTGCTCATGGCCACTGTGTGGATGGAATCATTGAGAGCACTATCAGACATCCCGTTGACGCGACTTGCAATGTGGTCTGTCTCCATGACCACAGGGAGCTCCAGGCCATTCCCATGAATGGGTATCACACCACCATGTCCTACAGTGTCTGTGGTCAGGTTGTTGCTCACAGAATCCACAGAGAGAGGTTCATGACTTCTGGAGCCATTTGGAATTTGGGAATGCTCGCCGGCAACACCATCCATTGTCAGCTCCTCTGCCATTCCATCTGTGGAGATTGGACTGGTAACCCTAGAAACATTCTCCATAGTGATTGTTGTGTCCAAGGCCACCTCATGGCCATCACTAGGATGAAGACTTTGGGCACCGTGTGTGTTCGCAGAACGAGAGTCTATGGAGACAATGCCTAGTTCCAGTCCAACATTTCCATTGGTCTGAAAGGGATCTAGTGCTGAAGGATTATTGGTGATCGATAGTGCTGTATTACCATCAACATTTATAGAGTTGGGGTGGATGTACTGAGGAGGTGGTCTGTCAGCTAAATAAGATAAAATGCCTGAGAAAAAGAAAATATCAGAGATTTTAAAAAATATTGTTAAACAAAAACTTCCAACTGCTAGAAGCTATTTTAGAAATATAACATTGAAGTAATCTACTTCTTTAATCAAATCTGTATTTTATAAGTAGTAACACATATGTATACCATAATTGAGTTTTTCCTGTGAAACTCAAATCTGACTTCCTTTGCAGTAGACTAGAAATAAGTTATTTAAGTGCTGCCTTTAGTATTTACATGGTTGCAATTCCTGAGTCCAAAGATGCTAAAATTTGCTCTACGAGAAATAAAAAGTAAAATGATTTACAAGCAGATATTGTTAGATCTTCTACTGATTGTATTTAAGTTCTGATTTATTAAACTACCACACATTAAACTCTACTCAACACAAATGTACGTATTGAAATGAAACAAAACTAGATAGATGGATGGATGGATGGATAAATAAGATAGGTAGGTAGGTAGGTAGGTAGATTTCTAACCAAGCACTCCACCCAAGCCCACCTCCAAATTTTAAACTTGTGCTTGAAATGGAATTTACTTCACTGCTGGTGGGAAAGTAAATTACTAAACAGATACATTTTTTTGGGAAATGTATCTGTTAAGAACTTCAAAATGGTCACACCCTTTTGGACAAGAAATTCCACTTACAGCCATCTTCCCTGAGTATATTTTTGTAAATATTATACACAAAGACATTCATAAGACATCAGCTACAATGGTAATAAAACCTAGGAGAACCAAACTGTCCAGTAATAAAAATAAATCACTAAGAAGTACAGGGCTATATGGGAGGTAGAAACAGAAGGATCGCAGTCTGTGGTGGTACATACCTGTAATCCCAGGTATGTGGTAGCTAAGATGCAGAGATAGGAAGAGCTCAGTCTGAGACCAGTCTGGGCAAAATTGTGAGACCCTATCTGAAAAATAACTAACGCAAAAAGGGCTGGGGGCATGGTTCAAGTAGTAGAGCACTTGCCTAACCAGTCAAGGCCCTGAGTTCAAACCCCAGTACTACACACACACACTATCAAAAACCATTCAGTAGAATGTTTTTTTTTTGTTTGCTTTGGGGCTTTTTTGAAACAGAATCATACTATGTAGCCCAGGTTCACCTGGAACTCCTGATTCTCTTACCTCAGCCTTCCAAGTGCTGGAATTACAGATATGTACCACCACCCCTGGCCAATAAAATCCAAAGAGTCACTAAAAATGATAATTATGAAAAAAATGTAGCAGCAGGGAAAAATAGCTATGTAAAAGAGAAAAATATTAAGTGAAAAAAGTAGAGACACAATTGTATAGAAAGTATGGTCTTAATTATGAAAACAGCAAAAATCTACAACCCAAAATAAAAGACAGGATGGAAATACACACACACAAAAGGATGAGGGAACTTTGAGTGCTACTTTTCTCTCCCTATTTGCTAAATTTTCTGAAACAAGCATATGATGCTTTTTTTTTTTTTTTTTTTTTGTCTTTTTTTTGGTGCTGGGATCCAACCCAGGGCCTCGCGCATGCCAGGCAAGCACTGTACCACTGAGCTACAACCCAGCCCCAATAAGCTTTAAAAACAATGACACTGCAGCAGGAGTCATAAACTGCAGGATTAGAAACACCAAATCAATGTTTAGGGTTCATAAATTGCCTTAAAAAGACTGATTTAAAACTTTAACATGTTTGAAATGTCCTCCAAGAAATTTACAAATATGTCCCCATATTTTAAAAAAAGAAACACTGACCAAGGAGATGCTGAAGAAGAAACTATGTGCAACTGACAAAATTAGCTTAGTTGAACTGCTTATTAGCAACATATTATAGGCACATTCTAAGAGAAAAGTACAGAAATATAAACAAAGACTTTTTTCCCAAAGATTAATATCTAACACTGAGAAAGACAAAAATGTTATTCAAGAACTGAGGCTAGACGCTGGCTCTATTGAGTTTTGTTTTTTGTTTTCCCTAACAAAGAACTATAAAACTTACCAGGTAGAATGGTTCTGAAATAACTGCTCTCCAGGTGAGGGTAGGGTGGTGGAGGTAGGGTGTAGTTTCTTTCCGGTAACCCACACATCACCCCTCGATCCCCTATGCCCATCGGGAGCATCAGAGACAAAGCAGAAGGCAGGGAGCTCAAGGAGGGACCCAAATTTGGAATTGCCACTGGAAGGCCTACAAAAAAATTTTTCTTAATTAAAAGAAAATATGTACTTTCTATAAACACTGGCTAAACTCTTTGCACATGGACAAACAGTAGCCCTTTCTTATCCTTAGTGTTGTGCAAACATCCACAATACAGAACTAAACAAAGTAGGCCTACTTCCAAAATTAGCTCTCAAGTTAGTCTTAAAGTGCCAAGATGATCCTCTAACTATATTCATTTACAATAAAAACCTAGTTTGAATAGCATTTGAGAAAATAAATTAGGGGCTGGGCAGATCAGAGTTTGAGGCTAGCCTAAGCAAAAAATTTAGCGAGGCCCCATGCCAACAAACAAGTCAACATGGTGCCATTTGCCTATGGGCCCAGCAACACAGGAGGCACGGGTAAGAAGATCACAGCGCGAAACCCTGTCTGAAAAATAAAAGGGATAGGGGAGTGGCTCAAGTGGTAGAGCACCTGCCTAGCAAGTGCAAGGCCCTGAGTTCAAACTCCAGTACCGCCAAAAAAACCGAAAACAATGGAAAGAAACACAGACTGTTCACAGGAGTGGTCCTTGGCAGTGATATTATGGATTCTCTCTCTTTTTTTTTTTAATTTTATTATATTTTTTATAGGGCGAGAATGTTTCACTTTGAAAACATTCAGATGTGCATCTACTTGGAAAACAGTTCAACTTAAAGTTAGATGTAGAAGTGTACACACACACTCTTTCATAGTCTTGTGTATGCTGTACTTCCTTCCTGATCAATAAAAAAATCTAAACCTTGGATATCTTTTTGCAAAGTGATGAAGTGACTCTTACTGTACAAAGTATCACCAATTTGAGCAGTGCTTATTTGCATATTTTTACCAGGGACAATATTTTTAATAAGCTTCTCCTCCTCAACAAGAGGAATGCCTAAGAGACAATTAGATTGTCTCTAATAATTATTTTTAATTTCTTTTGTGGACACTTGGAAGCAAAGAGATCCTAGTTTTAACGAATATTATTTAATTGCTGCCTAAGTAAGCAGGTAATTCTCTATAGAGGACTGTTTAAACATCTTATAGATTTACTTAATAATCTTAAATATTAGCTCCTATTTTAATAAAATCCAGTATTATAATAATGCCATAGATCCTTAAGAATCAATAGCTTATCCCATTTGTTTTCCATTTCAATAGAAAATGTAAATAAAACTAGACAGAAAAAAGGTTTTTAAAGTACAGTGATGGGAAAGAACACATCTTTCTTGCATTATTCTTCTAAGTGATAAGGCCCTATACCTGGTTCCACTCTTTCCCACAACTATAGGCTTGGCACATTTGCAGCTATTCAGTTTTAAACACAGTAAAAAATAAAGCCAAATTCCCAATGCTTTTGGGAACTAAAGAGTAAATTTAACCTATTCTCTTCTATTAACCTAGCACAGAGCCAAGGTGTGAGCCAGATGAACAGGTAACCTCAGATAAAATGCCAACAGCTCTGCACAAAACTATCAACTTAAAACCTATGGGAAGAAATATGCTACTCATATCCACTAGAAGTCTGGCACTCTATAAAACTGTTTTCTTCTACACTACCACATGGGAAACTGCTATTCAGGCTTGCATAGTTTCTCTCCTCCACTCTGGAAAGTGCTCTGACATCCTCTAGGCTTCATTTAGAATTAAATGTAGCAGTGAAGTGTTGGTTGAAAAGTAGTAGCTCTCCTTCCTCACTCACCTGGGGCAGGGATGGCACTATGAGTAGGGGAGGCAGCCAATCCCAGATGACTTCCTGAGACTGGCAAGGCATTGCTCACAGAGGATGAAGTCAACTGCTCCATCCCCACTGGGCTCAGGTTCATTTCATTCATCCTAGGAAAAACCATACACAACCAGTTATGCAAAAAATTGCCTCACTGACCCCACGTTAAGATGTCCAAGAATGTGAATCTGAAGGGATGGAAAAACAGGACTGACCAACTACTCATTTTCAAGCTCACAACTCTTGAGACAGCTAATGTCATGTTCTTTCTAGTAATAAGGAAATTGGGATTCAGAGAGTTTAACTCACACCAATGTCACACAGCAGCAAGGCAAAGTCTGCACTCTACAGAATACACTGGCAATGCCGGTTTGATTTTTAAAACTCACCCAAGGTTTTCCTCTCAACAGTTACTGTCTCCAACTGACTCTATTTCAAACCAGCAGTTTTTTAGGCAGTTTTTTAAAAACTAAAAACACTTTTACTAATCCTTTTTTACCAGTAATTAAAGATGTATAGATTATCAATGGTATGAAGAGAACACCGTATTTTTCCCATGGGTCAATATTTTATTAAAATCTATATCAATACTTTGTTAATCAATAATCAAGGTTCATTTTGTAAGCTTTGCTATAACTTTATTAAAAATGACTTCAAATTCTGACACCAGTTCTGCAAAGTAAGGTAGATGAGGAACTAACATTCTAAGAAGGCATGTCTATGCTCCAATTCACAGAGTAATTCAATCAAAGAACATAAATCATCCAGCAAAGCAGTGTCCAAAAGGTTTTAATATCAAACCTTTAAAAAACACAGACCATTCTTGGCAGAACTGAGGAATCACCTTTTATATGCAATACAGCTCGCAGTGCCATTAAAAATACCTTAAGAGTAAGAGTGATACTAATTTGAAAGCCATTAATTGGAGGTTGTTACCAAAAAGTATTAGTTTCTAATCAGAATTTATGGCCTTTCATATTATAATCATTACCATTTAAAGAATCTGGCCAAGAAGGTCTCTAATGACCTGCGTATTTCCACTGGTTATCACAGTAATGCATTCTTCTCTGTGTGTCCCAGGCAAGTATATCTGGGTGGGGGTGAGGAACAACAAGGGAGAGCACTCCTTAGCACCCAAAGCAAGCCTAAATAGGTTTTAATTCTGAAAAACAGCAACGGCCCTTAAATCAACCCAAAAGTAGTAACAGCTAACATTTGTTACTCTTTCCACCTGTTAGGCACAGGATTAAATGATTGATCTCTCTCTCCTAACCTTCAAAACTACTGTTAAGTAGATATTTTTCTTAATACCACTGAGATGATGATAAAAAAAAAAACAAAACAAAAAAACCAAAAACAAAAAACCTAGATTCAGGCTAAGAAACTTAATCCAAGTTCACAAAACTAGTCTGAGGCAGAGTTGAGATTTAGGCCAGACCTAAGAAATCCAACCTCTTAACTATAGTAAATAAATTACAATAAAGGACTGTTTTGCCTTTTATACGAGCTCTAATTACACAGTTCAAATACATTAAAACCTGTCTATACTATGTAGTACATTTAAAACTCCACAAAAACCTGTTTCTTAAATTATTCTACATCCATAGGCCCTTATCCCTGGTCAGGTAGCTCATAAAACTTAAGGTCTTAAGACATCTCTTAAGTGTACAGGGCCAATTTAGTACAGGACCTTGCATAGAACAGGCACTCTGAAATATTTTTTTAATTGGATGGAACAATGCAAACCATCACCCTTATCATAAAGACAGTTAGAACCACATGGCAAATGAGGTACACCATTATGTGCACTAATAACAGCATTTTATTACTCTACAAAAGAATGCAAAATTCTTGTAGCCTAAAGAAGCCATAACTACCTGAATCTTGAAGGTTTCTGGACTTGGGTTGGCTTAAAAGATACATCTATAACTTTTTATGGCTGAAACTACCAAAGCACAACAAACACTGGAGCAATAACATCCAGCAACAAACTGATTACAATAATTTTTAAAAGCAGAACTAAAAGTCTGTAATGTCAATTTCCATTCTGAAAACTTCTGAACATTAACCTAATGTACCTAATTTCAAGAGAAAAATCAAAATGGTGTTTTGTTCAAACTAGTTCAAACCAGAGTTCAATGCCAGAGGCTCAGCAGATTTCTGCTTTACTGTGAGTCACTAAAATGTGATGACCTCAGCAGTCAAAAACCAAAGGTAACTAGCATCCAGCAGAGAGAAAGCAGAGGGAGGGAATGTACACGATGATCCTCATTTCAAAGTGCAATTCTAGTCTAGCTACCTTTCGTATACCAGACTTTAAGAAGCAATCTTGGAAGAAGGGCTGAAGTCAAGATACTAAGCTCTCCCCCTCCCTACTCATTTCCTACAGTTGACCTGCTTCTACTCAACCTATGTAACCATCTGCTGGATACTGAGCTCACACCTTTTCCTTAGAATGACATAGAAGCAGATGGTCTGCAAAATGAAACGAACAGTCTCAATCATTTCAATCAATTTGTGTTTTATCTTCTTCATTCTAAACAGAGCCTCTGAAAGGATTCTGGAGGGGAAAAAAAAAACCCAGCAAAATAAACTATGTCTTTGATCTGCTTCTGGACTGCACTGGCATGGTACCTTAAAAGTACCATCACAAGATAGGTGTGGTGGTGCACCCCTGTAATCCCAGCACTTGGGAAGCTGAGTTAGGGAGTTCCAGGCCAGCCTGGGCTACATACTTAGCCTCTGTATCAAAAAGCAAATACAAACAGATGCAGTGGCTCACATCTGTGATCTAGCTTATCAGGAGGTGGAAATCGGGAGGATCTAGACTCAGGGCCAACCTGGGCAAAAGGTTATCACGACTCCAACTCAACCAATAAAATCTAAGCATGGTGGCACGTGCCTATCACTTCAGCTACCCAGGAAGCATAAATAGGAGGATCACGGTCCAGACCAGCAGGGGATAGAAGGAGACCCTATCTCAAAAATAACCAACGCAAAAAGGGCTGGCAGTGTGGCAGTGCAAGGCCCTGAGTTCAAACCTCAGTACAACCACCGAAAAAAAAAAAAAAGACTTTAAACATCAGGATAAAGCTTGCAGAATTAAGGACTCAATAACCCCCCGCAATCCCTGCCATTCCGTAACCAGCAAAACTGAAGGTAAAGCCATATGACACAGAAGCACGCTGTCTAGATTTAGAGACTAAACGCTCAGATAACTCAAAAGACACAGAAGGAAGACGTCAGTTAAGCCAACAAGAAATGGGTGGCTACTTGGAGCAACTACTCACACTTGGACCTTCCAGCCGATATTAGTTTCTGGATTTTTTGTTCCCTTTGGGGCACAAATCTATTTGCAAATCACACCTGTAATCTTCCCAGTGGCACCCGAAACGATCATTCGCCAGATGTTTTCCCAAGCCGTCACCTGCGCCCACCTCCCAGTCGGGATGCATCTGCTCAGGGCCCAGCGTCAGAGAAAGGGGCGCTCAGGTGACGGGGAACCGGCATCGGGGTGTGCGTTCCAGGTCACGTGCTACAGCATCTTGGTCACAACCACTGCACAACCGCGGCCGCTCGTTTTCGGGGCCGCCCAACTTCTCCCGTGGGCCGGTGGCCGCGCACCCCGCCAGGGATGGGGCATGCTGGGGGACACCCGCTCGGCCTCTCCTCCAGCAGCTTCCGGGGAGAAGAAGGGTGCTCAACCTGGAGTAGGGAGGACAACAGCGGTCACCGAACACTGGGGGGGACGCAGCCCGCGTGCCCTCGCCACCCGAGCGCCTCCGAAGCGCTGCCAAGGCGCCTGCCCGCCCTCCCGCTGACCAAGGAGTCAGCAGGCCGCCCACGCCCGCCCGGCCCGCGCGCAGCCCACCTGCCAGCCGCGAAGGGCTCGCGCGCCTGCCCCGCTGTTTTGTTCCTCATCCGGGCAGTGCTGGCCCCGGACGCCCTCCCCGACCCCGCGCCCCCGGGGGGGTGGGGGCAGCTCCCCTAACGTTTTCCGCCCGACCCCGCCGGGCCCCGCCGCCTCCTCAGGGTCGCACCCTCCGCGGCGCGTTTCCGGCTCCTCAGCCACTCTGGGCGCCCGCGCCCCGCCCCCGTGCGTGCGCCCCTCCCTACCGCGGCCCGATAGCGGCGCCCCGGCACCTCCTTGTCCTTTCCCCAACCCAGGCCCCTTCTGCGCTTGCGCACGGCGCGCAGGGTGGAGGGGGCGCCCTCTCCACCCAGGCCGGAGGAGGTGGAACGCGAGAGGCTCCGCCCAGAGCGCCGCGAGTCAAGCCAATCGAGTCGAGCGCCGAGCGATGGGGCCGCAGTTGCTAGGCGACCAGTGCTGCGGTGCACGCTGGGGGTGCGTTCTGAATCGTCCAAGTGTAGCCGACTCGAGGGTTCGGTCTTCGTGGCACGCTCCTAATAGGGAAGCCATAAATAATTTAGGCCAGAGAGTTGGCATTATGGCCCAGGAGGGACCGGGACTCTATCCTGAATATTTTTCACTGCATGTTACATTTGAAGGTGGTCCGACTTGTTCAAATTTCCCTCCTCTTCTCTCTTTGCCCTTCGTTCCATATTGCATGCCAGGCACGACGCTTAAAAAACGCTAGCGCTGCTAAGAAGGCTTTAAGGGGTGATGGTCCCGAGCTCTTGAGGAGTGGACTTTGAAACTCCACCACACTGCACCAGCAGATCTAGGAATTCCCCTTTCATCCTCAAGACATTTATCGAATTACATCTCAAGAACAAAAGTACAGAATAAGACACGAGTCCTGGCCCTGAGCAGTTTGCAGTTTAGTGGGACCGGTGAATTTTGAAAATTCAATCTGATGTGAAAGCGTAGAGGCAAGCACGGCATTGTGGAGCAGAACCAGGAGTGGTGTCCACTCCTATGGTGTTTTCCTTGGTCGATTTCTCCTAAGGAGAAAGCACATTCCAAGTGGGGGACTTACCACCTAACTTTCGCAGGCCACGTTGGTTTTGCTGTCTTGTTGACAACAGTGAGGAATCTAAACCATACCACAAGTGGGAGACGGTATTCCCTGAAACGCCGCTTCAACCAGGAGCTTAAAGAATGATGATGTGTTTTGTCAGCGGCTACACACTTACATTCTGATCTGGGTTTCGTGTCTATTCTTTTTGAACAAAGTTGTTAAGTGCACAGGTGTATGTAAAAATCAGATCACATCAACAGAAAAGCAGAAATGCTATACTTATGTAAGAAAAAACACAAAACAAAGTGATGAACTATTTAAAAATTGACAAATTGAAGTTCTTCAAAATTAAGACATCTGGTTTGGAAAAGATACTTCCACAAAATGAAAGTCAAAGCCAGAGGCTGGGAGAAAATATTTTCAAAACAAATATCTGAAGAAGGATTTATATTTGCACATATAAAGAACCTTTTCAAGTCAATACTAAGAAAAACAACCCAATTGCTTAAATTGTGTGAAATATCTGAGCAACGATTTTTTTTTTTTTACTTCCCCCCCCAAACCGTGGCTTACATTTTCTTTTTTTGTTTGTTTGTTTGTTTGTTTGGTGGTAATGGGATTTGAAATCAGCACCTTGTGCTTGCTAGGCAGGTGCTCTACCACTTGAGCCACTCCACCAGCTTGAGCAACAATTTCAGTAAAGAAGATATATGGGTGGCAATAAGGCCCAAGAAAAGATGTATCCAGTATCATTAGTATTAAGGACATCCAGTCAAAGCACAGGGAAGAACATTACACGCCTATTAGAATGGCTTACATTAAATTGAACCAGAGAGGTGTAGGTACAAATATGGAATAACTTTGCTGGGGGGAGTGCACACAGCCACTTTAGTAAGTCACTTCTTAATTTCTTTTACTGTGGGTACTTAGACCCACAGAAATAAAAACATATGTATAAAGAAATGTACACACATGTTCATAGCAGTTTTCTTTTTGATAGTCCATAACTGAAAGCAACCCAAATTCCATCACTTGGTTTGTGGATAATTACAGTGTATTCCTTGCAGGGGAATTCTCCACCATGATGAAAAGACCAAGCCTTAAAATGCGTGGATGGATCTCAAAGCCTTACTATGCCAAGTGAAAGACACTGGTCACAAAAGACTCCATGTTATATGAATCCATTTATGTGAAATTCTAGAAAAAGTAAAACTCCCATAGTTTGTCTGTTACTATAAACAGAAAGTGATTGTTAGGAGTTGGGAGTGAATGAGAGGATAAGATAGCCTACAAAGGGACATAAAGGAATTTTTAGGGATATTGGAAATAGTCTTGATTGTGATGGTGGTTACACAATTGTATACATTAGTTAAAACTAATCAAGCTGGGCACCTGTGGCTCACACCTGTAGTTCTAGTTACTTGGAAAGCTGAAGATCAAGAGGATGTAGATTTGAGGTCAGTCTGGGCAAATAGTTTGAGAGACCCCCATCTCCAAAACAACCACAGCAAAACATACTGGAGGCGTGTCTCAAGTGGTAGAGCACCTGCTTTGCGAGCAGTTCTTCCCACTCCCCCCCAAAAAATAATCAAATAGTAAACTTCAAATTGGTAAGTTTTATTACATGTAAAAATACCTCAAAAAGCTGATTAAATAAATGTCAGGATCATCAAAATTTCAAATATTCCAACCCCACTCCCCAGACTAAATAAGGTCCATTGTCTGGTGTCTCATGTACCTATCAGTACCATAATTACTTGTTTAATTTTTTTATCTTGCAAATAGATTTTACATTTTGAGGACAAGTTCCTTGTCTGTCTATTTACGTAGTCGATACCTGACATATATTACCTGGTCAAAAAAACATTTGATGACAGAATGTAGGCCAAGCTGGTGTGATCTGAAGCTATTCACATTGATTCACACAGCTGTTTACTTGGCAATGTGTGGCAAAATGTGTGCTCAAAGATTGCCTTGGCTGCTGATTTAGGGTGCCTTACCCCTTCAAGGAGACCCCACAGTGCCATCAAGACAACAGAACAATGGGAGACTCACTGACTAACCAGAAAAATAGAAATGAAGAATGTCACCCTCCAATTATTAGAAAGACTGAAATAAAGATGTAGGTTCAACCAAAGATAGACCTTAACTAAGGCATCCAGATAACAACCATTAGTATTTTTTCCTGGATGGCAAAGACAGATGGAGAGAGAAAAATCACCTTTACACATTACCATTCAGCACTGAAGACAAGGACCGCCCGTGGGTAAACTTGGTCTAGATTGGGCTGATCAAAATATCTTTCAATTGACCTTAATTAAAGCTTCAAATTCTGTTCCTAATCTCTCATGGTAAGAAGGGTCTGGAAATAATGACATTTGACATGGGTCAACCTGTCCTTTATTGGGATATAATTTATTAACTGACTCATTTCTTGATTTGTTTTCACTAAGGCATAAGAAGTCTAGAGATTGACTATGCAACATATATTTGTTGAGTGTCTGTTATGTGCCAGACATAGCTGTACACACTGGGGATACAGCAGTGAACAAAACAGGCAAAAACTTACAGTTGCTGATTGAGCTTACAGTATAATGGAGGAAACTAGACAATAAAAAAATAAATAATTAAATGCCATGAAAAAAGTATATCTGGAAAAGTGGACAGAAAATGCTCAGAGGTAAGAGCTGCAATGTTGAATAGAGTAGACAGAAGTTATTTAAAAGATGACATTTGAATAAAAGAAGGGGAGAGAGTGACCCATGGGGATGTCTAGATAATGTTTTGGCCACAGAGAAGGGTAAAGGTACTGATGCAGGAGAAGGCCATTGCTGAAAATATTCGTAGCAAACTGGGAAGATTTCCTTAATCTGATTAAGAATAACCACCTCATTAACGCTTCCTCATTAAAATAGGAGGATGCTGGCTGCCCTGGCTATCACTGCTACTTGTTGGCATTGGATTGGAGAGCTTAGGTCATAAAATTCAGTATGAAAAAGAAATCTGTTACATTAGCAAGGCAAAAATAAGATTCACTATCCATAGAAAATATGGCTATAGGTTAAGACATCCTGGAAAATTATTCATCTTTAAAAAAAAACAAACCTACCCAAACTATCTTGAATGGGTGTTGTTTCACCTATGTATACATTTGTTCAAAACACATTGAACTACACACGTCAAAACTGTGCATGTAACTATATGTATATTTTACCTTCAGTGAGAAACATTAAATGGCTGGGACAGGAGGATCAAGAGTTCAAGACCAGCCTGAGATTTTTATTTATTTATTTATTTACTTTTTGGAGACTTGTCTTAAAGCAAAAACAAAACAAAAGAAAACATTAAGACTAAAAAGCGAGATCAGTGAAATGAATGGATAAAAAATTAATATGAAATAAACCAGTGACTTTGAATAACAGAAAACAATCCTATTTATAATGGTGACCACATCTAGGAAACATCTTGAAATAAACATAAACACACAAGATCTACGTGAAGAAAGCTATAAAACTTATTAAAACACAAAAAGACTTGACTCAATGATTTCTACTGAGTTCATATATGGAATGATGCAATGTTTTAAAAAGCCAGTTCTCTCCAAATTAATCTTTATATTCAACGTAATCCCAATTAGAGTCCAAAGTGGTGTTATTGGGTTTTTCCCTCATAGATATTAAAAATGCATGTTGCCTTCTTTGTTCTTCTTTTCTGAATTTGGGCATCCTTGCAGGTGAATTTCAGGGTCAACCATCCATATTCAAGCCTTGATTTGTTGCCTTTTTCTAATTCATACCAAGGTGTCAAATAGACAAAGAAGGCCTTGTAAAACTTGTGATTGGAGAAGGTCTCCTCAAACAACAGAGAAAAGACAAAAGCCTTAGAAAAGAACTAATATATTTGACCACTTCAAATATCTGGGCTGGAGATTGTAGCTTAATGATAGAGTCCTTGCCTAGCATCCATAAGGCCCTGGATTCAATCCCCAGAACTACCCCCACACACACCAAAAAAAACCTTTAAATTTCTACAAGACCAAAGTCTACATAGACAAGATAAAAATTCAAGTAGCAAGTGAGAGAAACAGAAAAAAAAACAGTAATAAATTGTATCTAAATGTTTATGGTTCTTTATATGTTGCTGTACATTATGATATTTTAACTAGAATGCAAGAGCTTGGGTGAACGATCTGTCAAGCTTCCCTTCTGCATGACAACTGACCTTCAATTAACCTTCTGCTGTCCATTCCTCTGGAACCCTGAAAAAGGTAGATGGCCCCTAATGTCATTAGGCAACCTCACTCACATTAAAGCAATTTCTTGGTAAATTATATCTAGCCTGACAACTATAAGTACCTAATGAGGAATAGAGCTATGGCTTCCCTGCCTGTGGAGACTCTTTAATTGAGCCTTTGGGGTCTCTGGAGCTATGCTCGTGGAGTGGCTATAAGAAATACTAGCTCCTAAAGGGTAGGAGTTGTCTAAGTCAGGGCAGCTGCCACACCTGTCTGATGTGAGTCTTGTTTTCCTTGCACTTGAGTTGCAAGGAAACACTTGGCTGCAGTGGGGAAGTGAGAGCCTCTGTGTGGACCGCTACATAGATTAGCACAAGGATTCCTGGGAAGGTGGAAAGCCTCTGTCCCACACTGTCATTTCTCACCTTCATCCTTCCAAGTGATTTTTTTTTTGAGACATGGTCTCACTACATAGTCCAGGCTGAACTAGAACTCTAGATTCTTCTGTCTCAGTTTCCTGAGAGCTGAGATTGCAGATATGCACCACCACACCCAGGTTCTTTCAAAGAACCTGATGATGCCAAATTTGTTCAATGATAGTCTCTGTTTTTAAGATGATGACTTTATTATTTATTTTTGTGGTACTGGAATTTGAACTCAGGGCCTCACACTTGCCAGCCAGGTGCTCTTACCACTTGAGCTATGCCTTCAGTCCATTCCAGGAAAATCTTCTGAATCCAGGGGTTTACCATGTACTTGGTGGTACATGGTAATACAGATAGATAGTTAATATTTGAGTTACATGTAATTGAATAGAATCATGTTGAAGGATCAATTTGAGATTTACTTCACTATACCTTCGAGAAATCTCATTCTAGCCAAAGGTCATTATATTTGAGTCCCTGTACTCTTTCTGATAGCTGATGCAAATTCTATGCACAAGGCCATCTCTGTGCCATAAACCCAAATCTGTAATGTAACATCAAATATTTCACAAGAAAAGCCAATGGAAATCTCTTTACCTCTCATGGTCCAAGCAGACAAAGAGGGACCTGGATGTCAGGGGCAGATGTTTTCTGTCCAGGGATACCTAAGGTGTCCTAGGAAGACCTTCAAATCTGTTGAATGTGACTTTTAGTCAACTCTTTCCCCTTTCATGAGCAGATCCAAATGGGACTACACTAACCCAGACCCAGGTGCTCTTGGTGGCTTAGCACAGCTATAACTTGACCCAGCCAATCTTGTATGGGACAGGTTTAAGTTGGAGAGAACATGGGTCAAGTCTGACTGAGGACTGGGATTTGACTATTTTTATTATTATAGAATTAATTTTGTTCAAGTCCTGTGCATATTTCTTCCTTAGAGACAGAATTTATAAAGAGCCAGAAAACCTAGCTCAATGGCTTTAAGTGATAATGATAAATCTGATGGTTTGATTCAGAGCAAACTAATAAGAGTTTTCTCTTATTATTTTAAACTTCACTAGATTAAAAATACAAAATATATGCTGTTTGTAACAAGTTAAACAGTAAAAGAGAGCTATAAAGAAAAATGATCACTCCTCCATCCTCAATCCCATCCTTTTTAGGTAAGCAATAGCAAAAAAAAATTGTACACGTCTTTCCACATCATTCTGTTTTGAACAAATACATTAAAACATGTATATCACCTGGAGTGGTGGTACACATCTGTAATCCCAGCACTCAGGAGGCTGAGGCAAGAGGATAGCAAGTCCAAAGCCAACGTGGAGTACATAGTGTGAGAATCAATTAAAGTCAGGTCTTTTCTGTCAAAGGAGTTAATTTATAATTATCACTGTGTAGATGCCAGCTAACTGTTGCCTACATGCTTTGTGAAAGATTGCTTGACCTTGCAAGGTTCTTGTGGTCAAAGCGTTGTTTATCACCAAGTGTCCTGATCTCAAACTGCTTGTTTAAAGATAAATATTGCACAAAAAATTTTTCTTGTTCTCCCTGCTTCAAGGTTCTGCTTACTCCATGTGCTCCCTTTTCCAAGTAGCCAATAACGAAGATTATGAACCAAACCCGTCCATCAGGGTGCATGAGAGATAAAAACTAAGCAGACTTCCCACTGAGTGTGCTCACCTGCCTGACCCTGGTGGCCTTGCCCATCAGCTTTCTAGCACATGTCTGATTTGTAATTGTGGCAGCACCCCGATATTTCTAAAACATAGTGAGACCCTGTCTCAAAAAATATATCATGTAGAATTGTTTTATGTTTGTGCTACAAATATTACTCTGAAATATGCTTTATTTATTTAATGTTTTTGCTTAACACATGAAGGATATTTCTGCAACTTCTTATATAGCTCTGTAGAGCCTATCCATTATTTTTAGTAACAGTATAATATTCTAAAAGTATCAACCAAATATTCTAAAAGTATCAACCATTTTCTTATGAATGAACATTCAGGTTGTTTTTTTCTTTCCTTTTTTTAAATTACTACAAACAGTGCAATAAATATTACTGTAAAACTCTATACTGGTGCACTTACTTTTGAAACTTTGTAGAGATCTCTGGATCAAAGGATAGGTGATGTACAGTATTCATTTTAATAGTTTCCTCCACAAAGTTTGCAGCAATCTATGCCCCTACCCCCTCCTCAAATCCCCCCCTGGACTGGTTGTTAGCAGTCTAATTTTTGCCAATCTGAGAATGAAAAAACGTAACTTAACTGTTCTCTTTTCTCCATTTCATTTTATTCTTCACTAAGTAGACAGGGTTCTTTTGAAACACAAATCTTTCTATGTCACCTCCCTTTTTAAATGTCTTGTTTTCTTGTCACTCTTAGGCTGAAAGTCAAAATCTTTGACACAGTCAGAAAGCACCTGTGGTCTCATATCTCACTTACCTGACTCTCTGCCAGGAAGAGCTTTCTCAAATCACGAAAAAATGATGACATTACAAAATCATGATACATATTGTTTGCAAGAACAAGTATTGTAGGGAGCTCCACCTTTCAAAATGTGACTAACTTATGCCTGAAAGGAATAATTATTTCCATTTTATTTGCCTTGATGGAAGTGTTTTTCCAGTTGCTCCGGGCAGCTCATTTAGAGTACACAGGGAAGTACAGGACTTGTCAAAAGACATGTCAGGGCGACACCTTGGCTCCCAAGGAATAGACAGAAAAAAAAGAAGGGCTGATTGTAAATGTAGGGGGTTTTTGCTTCTCTCAGTTTTAAGTTAGACTTTTAAAGTAGAAGATGCCTTTAATGTGCTGGTTTGCGGAACAGCAAATCTGATTTTCAATGTGATAACACATTCTTTGACATTAACCAGTACAGTTAGGTTTTTAATGACACTTTCATCTTCAAAGCCCTTTGCCAACACAGATGGATTAATTATTCATTTTTTAGTTGTTTGTTAAAAAGACAAGTCTTCAAAGCCAGGTCCCTCCTCCTTGGAACTGGGGGTCTCCTTTTTTCAAACGTTGCTTTCCTGTTCTCCAGGGAGAAAATAAATTGTATTATTTTAGAGAGAAGACTATAATGGGAAAACTCTTGGTATATGGAAAGGTAATGTCCTTCTCTCCTGGGTGGGATTAGGAGAGGTCGGGAAGTAGGACTGAGGTGGTGTTTACAGTAAGCATTGTGAGAAATACCTGGCTAAAAGTGTTTGTTGCTGTTCAGTCTTTTGATGTGCTCTTTAAAAGTAGTATCCAGACCTAAAGGGCCCTGCGTTAAGTCTACCTTGGAACATAATCTGTGGATTCTTAAATTTGTTTCTAAATTGTACATATTTTTCTTGTTTCCCTCAAAAAGTGTATCTAATTGGGTTGTTTTTTTATTTGGTCTGTCAGTTTACTTATTTATTATTTATTTATTTTTGTTCATATGTGCATACAAATGTTTGGGTTATTTCTCCCCCCTTCCTCCCGCCCCCTCCCTTTCTAATTGGGTTTTTAAAAAAGATTTGATTCTCGAGAAGAAAACCTGGCGCTTCCCTGGGGGCCCTCCTTGACTTGACACATGTTCTAACCACAAGAGAGCAGTCTTCCCTTTGATGCGCGCCTCCCTCCACCTCCCCAGAAATGAAAGAGCAAGTGTAAGTTTGCAAACACTCTAAAAGCTCTTTCTATTAGACCTGGACGCAGGAAACCACAAAGGGCAGTCAAGTTGTGATTTTCAAGGAGAAAGCCTCGAGTGAACTCTCGCTCCGCAGCTAGGAGATCTGTAGGTTCTCAAATCTTAAAGATTCCCAGGCGCCTTGAACCTCTTCTCTCTTTGCTAGCCAGACCGATGGATTACAACAATTGAACAGTTTTGGTGGCTTTGGAAGATTTCCTGTTTGGGGTGCTCTCATATATCCAGCTAGAGGACCGAGTAGAGGAAATCCCTTTATCTTTTGACATAAGAGGACCGGAGGGGAAGACGGGCTTTCAAGCGTGGATGAGGAAGAGCCTACATCCTATATTTTTGTCTACCAGATCGAGACGTGCAATGAACTTGGGAAACCATGCAAAGTTTCCTTGAAGCCAGTCCTGGAAGCTCGCTTTGGGACGCGGCCAACTGCGGTCCCAAGCAGTCTGGATGGACCAGCATGTCCGCGACCAAGATTTGCAGTCTCATCTTCTGTTGAGAGATTCGTCTTTTGGGTGAGCCCTCGGCTTGCTTCTCGTCGGATGATGGAGAAACGGAAGCAGGAGGGACTGCTGACCGTGTCCCACCCGCTGCGCACGGCGCCCTTGGGCACGCCGGGGAGCCTGGCCCGAGTCCCCTCGAGGGATCCGATCAAGGTCCCGCTGCGCCTGGACGCCGCAGGCTGGGAGCGCGCGCACCGGGGCGGCGAGCGGAGACGGCCGTGGCCGCCGCGGCCGCTGCACGGCGCCTTCGAGCCCGCCTTCCTCCGCCAGCGCAACGAGCGCGAGCGGCAGCGCGTGCGCTGCGTGAACGAGGGCTACGCGCGCCTCCGAGACCACCTGCCGCGCGAGCTGGCGGGCAAGCGCCTGAGCAAGGTGGAGACCCTCCGCGCCGCCATCGGCTACATCGGCCACCTGCAGGAGCTGCTGGAGCGCCACGCGCGCGCGCACGACCGCCCGGCCCGCGCCACCCCGCAGCGCAGGGCCGACTGCAACAGCGACGGCGAGTCCAAGGCGTCCTCGGCGCCCTCGCCCTGCAGCGAGCCCGAGGACGCGACCGGCTAGCGGGCGCCCGACCTGCCCCGAGGCTTGGCGCGCCTCCGTGGCCGCGGCCTAAGGAAGATCCTTGCCCGAGGGGCTTTGCATTTTTCATCGGGTTTCTTCTCTAAGCCTCAATTTTCGGAAAAAAGAAATGAGTGCTTTAGAGGGGAAAGGGGTGTTTGATATTTTGGTGGGTCACTCCCTGCCTTGCACTCTAGTTAGCAACTTGTACTCCTTTTTTTTTCAGTAGTGCTGGGGTCTGAACTCAGGGCTTCATGCTTGCTACGCAGGTGCTCTACCACTTGAGCCACTCCACTAGCCCTTTTTTGTTTTGGGTATTTTCGAAAAAGGGTCTCACGAACTATTCCCTTCTCTCCCCCGCAGGCCTCGAAACGCTATCCTCTTGAACTCAGCCTCCCAAGTAGTAAGGATTACAGGCATGAAACCTTTTTTCCTTTATGTGCTTTACCGCTTAAGCCACGCCCCCAACCCTTTTTACTATGGTTATTTTGGGGATAGGGGCTCGTGCTTTTGCCTTGGTTGGCCTGGAAAAGCAATCCTCCCGACCTCCTGGGATGACAGACATAAGCCACTGTGCTGAACCAAGGAAAACTCTTTAATTGTACTTCAAGATTCTGAGCACCTCTAAATACGATTGTTCTGAAAACTCAAAGGGCGGTGGCAACTGGAATTTCCCCACACTTAGTGATTTGGGTAAATTATATACATGAAAATTACACCTTAACCCGAAAAGAATGTAACCACACAGCACACACGTGTGCACAGGCGCACACACTGCGGGCTTTAAGATGAGAGGAACTCATGCATCCCTTCCTTTGGGAGTTGTGTTAGAAATCTAATTGACACCGCGCTGTGGGTGAAGGTGGCTAAGCTGACAGCACTTGCTGCTGTCTATGAATCATGGGATAGAGGAGACTTTCTATGTTCGACACATCCTAGGTGGTGGACGTTTGGTTTTCCACTTGGAAACTTTGTAGTATTTAGCAGGTAATAAAATGTGTTAGTGTTAATGGCCTCTTTGGAAGAGAACCCAGATTTGTATGACAACCTCTTCTCTCAGTTGTTTTTGTCCACAGTTTTCATTTCCCTTTTCTTTGCCTTCCCCTTTGCACTTCTCATTCTACCTAACCTTTGGTTAAAGTGACATTGTCTTTAAAACTAAAAAGGAAATCAACAGGTTGGGGGCATAGCTCACTAGGTAGAACACCTGCCTAACAAGCTGGGGGCCCTGAGTTCAAACCCCAGTGTCACCAAGAAATACAAAAATAAAATAAAATATAAAGGAAATTTATTTCGTGCCTTTTGATGGTTGAACTGGGTGGGAGAAGGGATGTGGGATGAAGGGGACGGGTGCACTCGAAGTTTTGATCCTGAAGGCCTCTATGTAAATTGAAATCATCCAGTGAATTTGGCTGCATTACCAGCCCTTTAAAAATATTTAATTAATCCTGGTCATTTTTTTCCCTGAGAAACAATTAGGAATTCAGTAGATAAGTTTAGGTGCTTGTTGACATAAGAAAATAAACTTTCTAAAGTTGCTGAATTTCTTTCTCCCTGGGTGTAGCTTTGGTAAGGGGAGTGTGTGGGAGTGGGGACAAGGGACATGAGTGACCACTTTCCAAGTTTTTCCCTTAATTCCTTAAGGGCTCTTCAAGTGCGTCAACTAAGGGACAGTATTCTTCAGTGAGTATCTTCTACCTGACAGGACTTCGGTCGTGTGCTTTTTACATTCTGTCTTATTTAATTCTCATGAATTTGTGGGGTGGGCATTACACATATTTTGCAGCTAAAAAATTACAAAGCTCAAAGAGGTTATATACCTTGACCCAGTGTTGCTAGGACTGGTTGAGTTGAGACTTAATCCTAAATCTATCTGATCCCACAGCCCAGGATTTTTTTTTTTTTCTGGTTTTCTTTTTGGTGGTACTGGAGTTTGAACTCAGGGCTTCCAACTTTCTAGGCAGGCTCTCTACTACTTGAGTCTCAGCCCTTTTTGCTGTTGTTATTTTTCAAATAGGTTTTTTGCTTTTTGACTGGGCTAGCCTCTGACTGTGATCCTTCTACTTATGCCTCCTATATGGCTGGGATTACAGTTGTGAGCCAACATGCCCAGCCCCCCAGGATTCTTTCTCCTGTACTGTGCTGTCTTTCACTGTCACTGGCTAGCCAGGTGACCCAGCACATGTGACTTGCCCTGTCTGCTACTGTCCTCATTGCTGCTATTTCCCAGGAGATGTGGAAATGAAAGGCTGTGGTCCCATTGCCCAGAAATGATAACTTAGTGTTATTTGGAGAAAGTCCTGTGCTATTTCTTATTTGCGTGGAGAGTAAAGCCTGGTTAAGAATAACTTGTATGAGGAGGTAGTGGGATTTCTTCAGTGTTTCAAAATGGCAGAATAACCACCTCCTATCAGGATTTTGCCTTCTTTGGTATGGTTCTAGAAGACATGACCTAGTCACTGGAATGCTGAATCCATGTTAAAACATGTAACTGCTCTCACTCACAACAGTGACACTTACAACACGATTCTGTTCCTTTGGGCTGCACAGAGATGCCGTGCAATGTTTCACAACCGAATTTTTCCTTTTTCAAAAGAACCGGGGTTTTGGGGGTTAATTTAGCTATTTTTTTCTTATGCATTACTCAGTTAAGTCACCACCAACTCCTCTGTTTTGGTCTCCAGGCAGGTTGTTATTCCAAATGGGGGCTGCAGAGGATCAAGACTAAGGGAGGTGTATTTACTAATTAGGACAAAATGAGAAAACATCTGGTTACCTTCCAGGATGAGTTGGAAGGAGAAGGTCATCAGTCAGTTCACTGGGAACTTTAAGGTGGTTTTGTTTGAAGCTCTGTTGAGAACAAGGAAAGATTTGGGGAAATGCTTTGGAAAAATAAGAATAAAATCCTCTCTCAATCATACAACCTCTTTTTTTTTTTCTTTTTTTCTTTTTTTTTTTTTTTTGATGGGGCTGGGGTTTGAACTCAGGGCTTCACATTTGCAAAGCAGGCACTCTACCACTTGAGCCACACCTCCAGTCCCATACAACCTTTTCAGAGAAAGAGAAAAAAAAAAAGTCAGGCAGATTTTCTGGAACCTTCCTGATGACTGGAAAAGCACAACCCAGGAATGAGAACTTTTTTAAATGTTTGATTTTTCCCTTTCCTGTGATAAACCCTTCATTAACCCATAGAACAGTTGGCTTTCAAAAAGAACATGAATTCCCAGCAAGTTTTGTGGAATCAGTGGAGTGCAGGTTGAAATATTCATGAAAGAAGATTTTCCCAACTTGATTCTTTGTTTGCCACCTGACCCAAACATATCCTTTGGTTATACTTCATTGCTTTCAGAATACTCCTTGGGATTCATAACCCTGAGTAACTGCCATGACACTCCATTCCTGAGTGCAGAGAAGGAGGACCTGGGACAGAGTGTGCGCTGGCCTTGGGATTGGATCTCACTGACTCGGTGACTGTGGGCAAGTCCCTGACTTCTGTAGTCTCGGTTCTCTATGCTGAAATATGTGGAGATTGGATTGCGTAGTCTTTTAATTGCTTCCGGCTCCCAAATGCCATTCATCTGACATGTGCAAAGCCTTCACTGGGGTAATAGGCATGTCCACTTCCTGCCACGTAGCACAGCGGTTTTCAATCCCTGTGTCTCTGGTTTCCCACTAGAATGATCCAGCCTTGGAGCTAGCTCTAGCCTACTGTTTTTCTAAGTCCTAGTTGCTGTTACCATGCCTGTTTTTGGTTTTTTTTAAAGCAAGCTTTATAATTTTTTTTTGTTGTTGTTGAATGGAGCTTTAAGAATCTTACAAACTAGTGAGAAAACACACCCAATTCACCCCAATGTGAGGAAAATGGCAATAAGTAGTAAAGTGCTGTCCAAAATGAAAAATGCTATGAGAATACCGATAAAAGAGGAGTTTGTGTCGGCTTCAGGTGAGCAGAGAACAAGGAGAAAAGGACTTTGGGGCTGCAGCATTTGTCAGGGGTAGAATGAGAACTACAGAGGGCATTAGGGAAACGAGGAGGCAGGAAGTAGACTGGAGAATGGAGGCTGAGTAACAGGCGACTAGAAATGACAAGGTTCCAGAAGGCATCAAAACCCATGATTAAAAAAACTGGAGCTTTTTTTTTACCCAATAAAGAACTATTGAAAGAAGCATCGTGCATATGTATTTTGGAGAAGGGTGAACTGCTCAGTGCTGCAGTAAGGATCCCTCTTTTATAATGGCGGGAAGCATCAGGCCAATGGGATATTTCACTAATTTAAAGGAAATGAGGCCAAGGCCTAAACTAAGGCACTGCAAATGGGAAGGAGGGAGGGATTGAGAGACAATGTGGAGTAGAACTGACTGGTCTCAGTGGCTCAGAGTTTGGGTTGGGGGATGAGAAAGAGGAGAAATTTGAAGACCACCCTAGTGAATTCCCATCGACTGAAATCAGAATGACAAGCAGATTTAAAAGGCAAACATCTTGTTTTGGAGATGATGAGTCTACAGTACTGATAGGCCACTTACTCACATCCACAAGAAAGTGGAAATGCTAATGTCAGGGTCAGAGGGAAGCCATGCGTGGCTGTAGATTGAGACCCAGTCACGTCCAGGTAGTAATAGGTGTAGATGAGCTCTCCAAGGGAGAATATTCTTTTTTATTTTGATTTTTTTTTTGGTAGTACTGGCCCTCACACTTGGTAGACAGGCATTCTATTGCTTGAGCACTCCGCCATCCCTAGAAGGGAAAATATTGATGAGAGAAAGAGGAAAAAGCCAGGCAGGCCTAGATTAAAAGAAAGGTCTTTAAAGACCTTTCTGCTCCAAGAAGCAGGAGCCAGGGAAGTTAGAAGGAGAGCCAGAACTCGTGTGAGATCACAGCAATTAAAGCAGGATATAATTTTATATGAGGAAGGGAGCAGTTGATAGCATCATATGAATCAGAGGTGTCAGGTAGTTTAAGCGTGAGGGAAACTCATTGAGTTGAGCCATTAAAAGATCAACAG